AATCATTGCCCTAACTGGGTAATCTGTTAAGCTAAATTTCCTCTTAAACTTTTGCTTTATCGCTATTTTTAAAAATTCGGATTTGATTTATAATATAAACAAACCATGTTTAAAGCTATATGTTGCTGACGGTTTTATGATCTATCTTGTGCACTTAATTTTCATAACTGCTTTATGTAACGACAACTTTTATTGGGATTTCTATTGTTTATAGCGAAAGTAAATTCGAAAAAATTTCTTTTGAAAATTTTTAAAATTTACCGTGAGAATTTTGGAATAACCGTAAGACCGTGAGATTCGTTATCAAACCCTGAGTCTCACGGTAAAACCTGGAGAACTAGAGGGTCTGCAAATATTGATATCAATATTTTTAATAATATAGTAATAGGTTATTACTATATTATTTTTTGCTGAATTGTTAAAATAATCTTAAGGTGGACGAAAAGGAAGAAGAGGAGGTTTAAATAGGTTTTTAACTTAAATTTAAAATTTAGTACCAAATATCTGTCTAAACTTAGTTTTTTTAAAGGTATTTAGACCAACCAGTTCATCACAAAACCCCCGAAAAAAACAAAAAAAACCCACAGAAACAGCGAGAAAAGGTTAAATATTATTTTAAATGGTGCTAGAACGCAAATAAAATAGTTTTAAGCTAAGTTAATTACCAAAACTTTAATGAATTTGTTCCTACAACGAGATAAATATTTATTAAAAAATATTCAGTTAAAATAAACTTGTCGAAAAATATTACTTTCAGTAATAAAGTTTACTGACGATATCAAGCTATATTGTTCATTTAAGGATGTCGATTACAGTCACAAAAATCACAGTCATTTTAACAGTCATAAAAATGACTGTTAAAAGTAGCCAATAATAAGTGTTTTACTCATAGAATAGCATCTTTTTCATTTTGTAAAGATATAAATTACAACTACTAATTAGGAGATCATAATTTAACCTGGTCTACAAACCCAGAATATCTTGGTGTTACGGTCGACTCTTTTTTAAGTTACAATAATTGTATTGCGAAAATCGTCCGTGCATCAAACATTCAAGGATATTTATTTCTTAAGTGATTTAAACGTTCATGATGCAGTTATTTTATGAAAGTGTAGTCGTTTTACCTTTTGTAAAAGTTTTTAATATGACATAAAAAAAGTTTTTACTATGACATAATCTGAAAAAGTTTACTTTATATATAAACGTAAGGTAGGTACTCCGTGACAGGAGTACCTACTTTACGTTTTTAAGAATTGCATCAACGTTTCCATCGCGCCTGTTCTCTTACAAAAGTAACAATAAACAAGAACTGCTACCCTAAACGTATATATTTTTTGCTACCCGAAAACGAATCTTTTTTCAAAACCGCAAACCGAAAACGAACCTCCATTATTTAGTTACAACAAGGATGATTATAATTCATTATCAAACTTTATTGCACAACCGATTAGGATATTTTATTTCTACACAAAATTGCGGATCAAATGTTTAATACAAATCAAAATACAATTTTTTTGTCTTAATTGTTAATGATTTTAATGATAAAAATTACATAAAAAAAATATAATATCAAAATCTCAGAACAACACGAAACTCGTTTACAAATATATTAACAACCAGCTAAAAATTAAAGAAACAATTCGTTCTCTCAAAAAAGCTTCAAGGAAAATTACTGAAACTCTTCCCGATATACATAAACATCTGAACTCTCAATTTACATATATGTTTACTCTTGAAAGTTCCAAAAGTTTTCAATTGTTCAATAAAAGTGATGTTAAACCTAAGTCTAATTATAATAACAACTTTGGTTTCTCTATTGTAGACGTTATTAATGAACTTACCGATCTAAATCTTTATAAATCATTAGACCTAATAATTTCGACCTTAAGATATGTGCCTAAAGCTTTGCCATTCAGCTTACAAAAATCTTCTATGAATCTTTTAGTTCTGAAATAGTACCAACTTTTTGTAAATTAGCAAATATTAGTCCAGTCTATAAAAAAAGAGAGACAAACTACTTCCTAAAAACTATCGACCTATTTCACTAAACTCGGTTGCGTGAAAAATCTTTGAAAATGTCGTAAAGAATATAATCTTGAAGTACATCAACGGTAACAATCTGCTCTCTACAAATCAACATGGCTTCCTTAATCATAAATCTTGTGTAGCCAATCTAATAGAAACGTTACAGTTAACAATACTAGCTCTGTCTGGGTTGATTTTCTCAGAGATGTTCCTCAAGGTTTTGTTCTCGGTCCACTCCACTTTAGTATTTTCACAAAAAACCTTGCCTAACTTACTAATACTTCTGAAATATTTGTTAACAATACTAAATTTTTTTTAGAACTCTATCAAAGACTAATTTTGCTGATCTGCAGGATCGTTAACGCTTAGTATACGAGTGGTCAAGCACTTGATTACTTAAATTAAATATTTTTAAATTCTGTTTTATCCATTATGGTAAAATCAATGTACATTTACTTTTTAAAAAATAACCAAGTTATAAATGAACGCCTAAGAAGCTCTACTAAAGACCTTGATTTAAGAGTTATTTTTACACCTAACCTCAAATGGAGCACATATATTTAATTAGTTGTCTCCAAATCTCTACAAATTCTTCGTAAACCAAAAAAGACATTCACCATCATTGATGAAAAAATGGCTCTCAATCTTATAAAGTGTTTATAAGACCACACCTTGAATATGCAGTGTATTTAATGGTTGTAATCGTGATGAAAACATTAACGGACAATTGTTTAAAACCATTGTTTTTGTATTAACTTTTTTAGAAACAATAACAATACTTGTGATTCACAATTATTTTGATACTGTAATACAATAACAATGAATATTGTATTGCACTTCATCTTCATAAGACAATAACAATATCTTAAGAAAAAAAGGTGTTGCAATGAATAGCTACAATAGCAATAACTATTGTATTGTAATTCATCCTTATAATACAACAACAATTAATTGTTAGCGATCGTTCATAAAGTGCATGCGCTCAGAGGGTAAGAAGGGGTCTGCAAATGGCGCATATGAGATGTAAGGGCAGTGGGTCAATTATAAAAGAAAGAAGATACTAAATTAAAAAAATATCATAAAATGTTAGATAGATAGGTTAGATGCGTAAGTTTTTTTTAGGTGAAGGGTACTCAAAAAAGTGTATTGAAAAATGCGGAGGAGCAGGGGAGCGGTGGGTGGACAAAAAAAAAGCTTAACTACTTTATGGACAACCTCTTATTGTAATTAAAAAATTATTTTAATGTTAAAATTTAATAAATGTTTTAACAGTCCAGTCTCCGAGATAGGTGACGGTTCAACTAATATATAAATGTTGATTCTGTTTCTATTTTATTTATTGAATATCAGTTGTCCTTGTTGCAAACTTAATATAGCTTTATAAAAGTAACCTGTTTTTCTTTTACTGTTGAGGATAGACATAATCAATTACACCATTTCTTCCGCTTAGTTATTTGCTTTTATATTACGCGGCGTAAGAATTATCTTGCTCTAAGTACATGTTTTCGCAAACTGAGAAAATCGATGTCGAAGTTTGGGTTTGTTTGCTACTAAATTGAAAAAAATATTTGAAAAATTAAAGTTTTTTTTTAGATTTAAGATAGCTCCGTTCATTCTTACCTAAAAAAAAACTTTTAAAAAATACGCTAGCGCCCTATTTTTACCACCCTCTTTTGGAGGCGGAACAAAATAACTTTGGCTTTTTTCAAGTTACAAAAATGTCATTTTGTTACATCTTATATATTAAATATATTAACTGCATCTTTTAACAACGACATGTTAAAAATCGATGAAATTTTATTCTAGGTAGTGACTCTACTTACGCAGTGCTGCTGGTAGGCACCGCCACGCCCCTAAATTAGGGTTGGTGGGGACCCAGCTCATTTATGGGAAGTCTTTTAAAATAAAAAGTGCTTTTTTTTGTAATACTTAAAATTGGAGGTTTTTTATTATTTTGGGACCCTTATGAGGGTTATTTATTTTGGGAGGGCCTCAGACTCACTAGCTACAGCACTGTTCTTAAAAGTTTATTTAATACCTGTTTGCGCTGGGTCTGAATAAGACTTAGAAGACTAATTTAAAACAGGGCATTTCGCTACATAAAAAGAAAAGGTAGTATATATAGGGTAAAGGAAAGGGATATGCGGGGAAAAAAAGACTTATTAAAGATAAAGGATTTTTTAAAATTTTCCATCAATTAAGTATTACACATAACACAACAATTAAACTAATCTAATTACAAACACCATGCATGATGAGCTTGATTTTATTTTTTTATACCTGTGATTTCATTACAATAGTTTAACTATTTATTAAAAACTATTATAAACAATAAGCTAAACAAGAAATTTTATCAAGATTTCAAAATGATAGTAATTATATGTTTTATGTATCAATACTAATTAAATAAGAGAGAAAGTCATATAAAAAAGTTAACTTTATTAATGCTTAGTAAAACGCAGTATTAATAGCAGACATGTAAAATTACATGGAAAAGATATCATTGGCAGATAAGGAGCACGTAAGCAAGCTGCTATTGGTATAATTGTCTTTAATGGTTTGGCAATAATGCTTGATTCTGCTCGCTTGACAGACTTATTAATACGAGATTGTGAATAATTATCTGAAAACGAGGTTTTAAAAAAAACATGGTATGGTAGTCCATTTTTTTTTTTTTTTTTAAACATTATATTTTTGCCGTTTAATAAGTATTACAGTTTACAAAAATTTACAATTAAGTTAATGGCCGGAGCAAGAAGAAGACATTAATTTGCCTTATTGCCGAGCACCGTGTTACAATTTATAATTTTTTACAAAGTTATTGCATAATATATAGTATAAAAAAAAAATTGAATAAATGTTTACAAGAATTCAAAAAACAAAATAAGATATCGTTTATTACATAATATCATAAATAGACAAAATAAAAGTAAAAATGAATATATATAAATTTATATACACATTCGCACACTTACACATATAAGCGAACATATACCCATATATCTCAGCTAGCACACTTACATTGGGCCAACGCATGTAAAGCCATTGCAAACGTTGGCTCTTTTTTCCAATGCAAAACCAACGTTGATCCAATGTCATTTGGTTAATGTTAAAATTATTACCGACAGAACTTAAAACATCTGGCGAATTTACATTGGTTTAATGTATGTAAAAACATCGCAAAAAGTTGATTGTTTTTACAATCTAAACCCAATGTTAATCCAATGTATATATTTTGACGTTAATTCAATGTATACAAATCAACGTTGATCCGATGTATGTAAAAACATCGCAAAAAATTGATTGTTTTTACGATCTAAACCCAACGTTGATCAAATCTATGCGACCAAACATTACTATTACAAAATTATATAAGTTAAATAAAATCTTCTGTGATTATTAAAATGTCAAACCAAAATTAACACAAATATGATTTTTGTTAGGATGATCAAGCATTATCAACATATTTTATTTCATAATATTGTTTATTCATTATATATAATATAATCTCTAAATATGAATACTGTAAAAATTCAATGTTCAATGTCGCGCTACGTCATCGTTTATTGTTCTTTCAAGTAGATTCTAGGCTTTTTTTAGAGCGCGTTTTTTAATGTTTTTTAATTTACATGCGGTCAACTCAAAAGGTCTACCGAGCCAGACCTGACGAACTTCTCTTAACTTTTTAGGGAAATCATTTTTATATAGTTTCAATTTACATGTTTACTTAAGTTGAATTTTGCAATTTTTTATTTTAGAACGTTGTTATAAAATGATGAAGAGTTGTAAAGTAAAAATCTTATTTTTACTTTATAGGTTATATTTAATTTTATTAATTTAATTATTATAGATTAGCAAAAAAGAAAAATGAACGGTAAAGTTTTTATTTTAATCTTTTTCAAAACATTTTATTTGTTTAACATCAAAGGAGTCTTATTGTAAGGAAAAATTTAAACTATGTGAAAACTATTTGAGCGATTTAAAAGATAAATAAGACTTATTAATAATCATAATAATAATTTTAGTTACATTTTAAGTACATTATCAAGTATATAGTATTTTTTTTTTTTTTCTGTTTATTTAATGTGTAACTTTGATTTTTTGTTTTTTTTGGTTTACTATAATTTATTATTTTTTCATTTATATTTTGATTTATATTATTATTGTAAATAATATTTATTTCTATTTAGTTAACCACGGAGATGAAACTGAAGGTAAGTGTTGATTTTTTAAATATTTAAGTATAATTTATTATTTTTTCATTTATATTTTGATTTATATTATTATTATTCTAAATTCTATTTAGTTAACCACGGAGATGAAACTGAAGGTAAGTGTTGATTTTTTAAATATTTAAGTAGAATTTAAAATATTAGTAGTATATAGTAGAGTATTTTTGGAGTTGAATTTTCATTTAGTTGACAATGATGGGGAAGATGAAAGTAAGTTTTAAATTTTGTAACTATTTTAGTAGAACTAAATTTATATGTTAATGATAACTTCTGTCTAAAACAAGATGTTAATTGTATATATAATTTGTTTAGTTTATCATAAGCGACCTGATAAAGGTATAATCGTTAGTTAGCCAATTAGCAATTAATTTTGTTTTTAAAATTATTGAATTTTTATAATATATGTCTTTAAAAGATTTTAATAAAAGTGTATTTAAATTTATTGTTTAGACAAAGCACTAAAGAAATACAGTCAGTATTTTTGTCATTAAATATTTGTTATTAGGATTTAATAATTTTTACTGTTTACTTTTAACTTGCTTTTTACTTTATAGGAAAATTGAAACTTAGACTAGGTATAAATTATTTTATAATTTTACCAATTGATAATTTATATTTATATATATATATATATATATATATATATATATATATATATATATATATATATATATATATATATATATATATATATATATATATATATATATATATATATAAATATACACACACACACACACACACACACAGAGTAGTGATAGAGCCTTAAATTTAACTCAATATTGTTAATTTATCCTAATTTAAAGATATTTTTTCAAATTACTGATTTGATTGATTTTTTTTTATGTCTTTTTTATAAAATTTTCAAGTTTTTTTTTGTTTTAGATGATTTTATGGAAGAAATGAGGAAAACAGGTAAAAATTATATTTAGATACATACATACTTTTTATTATTAACTATTATATGTTTTATAATTTTTAACATTAATTTTTTTTTAAGTCTTATTATTAGTGTCAAACTCTGTGACAACTGGTAGGGTTATGCTTTTTATTTTTTTGCAATTATATTGTAGATTATTAAAATACAAATATTACATTTGTTTTTTTTTTTGTTGTTTTTTTTTTTTTTCTATTCTACTCTTCTTTTTTTTTCCCTCTTTTTTTCAGCATCGTTCTCTGGTACTACTTCAACATGTAGGGTTATACTTTATATTTAAATAAAATACAAGTATCAACATGTTTAGTTTATATTTTTTTCATTTTTTAGCATCATCATCTGATATGACTGCAACTGGTAGGGTTATGCTTGATAATTTTATTTAAGTACAAAGATTAACATGTTCAGTTTTTATTTTACCCTACTTTTATTTTATTTTCTATTTTTTAGCAGTGACATCTAATACTACTACAATTGGTAAGGGTATGCTTTATATTTAGATTAAAATACAAATATCAACCTGTTGGTTTTTATTTTATTCTACTTTTTTTTTTTCTCTTTTTCTTTAGCCTCACCATCTGATACTACTACAACTGGTTGGGTTATGCTTTATATTTTTAAAAAAATGCAAATATTAGGATGTTCAGTTTTTACTTTATCTAACTTTTATTTTATTTTCCCTTTCTTTAGCATTGACATCTGGTAGTACTACTACAATTGGTAGGGTTATGCTTGATATTTTTATTAAAGTACAAAAATTAACATGTTCAGTTTTTATTTATCCTACTCTTATTTTACCCTACTTTTATTTTAATTTTTATTTCTTTAGCGCTGACATCTGGTACTACTACAATTAGTAAGGTTATGCTTTATTTTTTAATTGAAATACAAATATCGACATGTTCAGTTTTTATTTTATTTTTTCTATTTTTTTAGCATCGTCATCTGGTACTACTACAACTGGTAGGATTATGTTTTATATTTTTATGCATTTTTTTTCAAATTGCAATTTTATTCAAAATACAAATATGAACATGTTTGGTTTTTATTTTATTTTTTCCATTTCTTTAGCATCGTCATCTGGTACTACTACAGTTGGTAGGATTATGTTTTATATTTTTATGCGTTTTTTTTCAAATCGCAATTTTATTCAAAACACAAATACCAACATGTTCAGTTTTTACTTTATTCTACTTTTTTTTTCCTTCTATTTCTTTAGCATTGTCTGGCACTGCTGCAACCGGTAGAGTTATGCTTTTATCTTATTATTATTTTAAATGCAAATATCTATTTTTTTTATTATATTATTTTTTATTTCTTTAGATCTAAATTGGAGCAGCTACAGGCTTTATCGCTCCCAGCACCCAGGACCTCTTTCTGAGAGGTCCTTTAACAAATGGTGCTTTAATAATGGTATGGATGAGCCCTCATTTAAATGGAGAGCTCATCCATACAGGGGTGCTGGGAGGCACCAAGGTAAAAACAGCAACAAAAAAATTTTTAATATCTTTAATCAGTGAAGATATTTACAATTTTTTTGTTGCTGTTTTTTCCTTGGTGTTTTATTCTCAATGAAATAAATTTATAATTTTAATTTTGTTTGTTTTTATTTTTTTAGTATTTGTTTAGACTATTAATTTTTGACTAGACATTTAATTTTTGGTTCACAATATAACATGACTGTAATTGTCCCCAATATATATCATATCAGTTAAATCAGAAAAATGTACTATAGTAGATAATTAACTGTAAAAAAAAACCACATGTAAATTTCTAATATTTTAAAGTTTATAATTTGTTGATTTTTACCAGATTTTATTTCTTTTCATTGTTTCGAATTCAATAGTTTAGTGTTTATAACTGCTTTTAACTTATGTTAAGCTTTAATAAATTTAATCTTCTAATTTTTACCTAATATAGATATTTTAATATGTAAAATAGATAGTCTTAATAATAAAGAAAAAAAAAAAAGTAAGTAATAAGAAAAAAGAAAAACAGATAAATGATCTTTTATATATTGAATTTGAATTTTGTCATGTTGCTTATTATATTATTGACATTTCAATGATGCTGTTAGATTTTTGTTTATTTCTTTAGAATTTAGAAAATTAAATTACACTACAACTTTTGAACAGTCATTTCATTGTTTGTGAAGGTTAAATTATTTTAATATTTTTTAAACAATTTTTTTATAGAAATAATTTGAAGTTTACAAAAAGGGTTTACAAATACTTAGTTTTTTAATTTTTTGTTCTATTTTTTGTTTAAGCAGCACTTTTATTATTCAAATTTATTATTCAAATTTTATTATTCATTATTTTTTAATCCTATTCGTTATTTTTTTATTTAGATTATTATTATGAGTTAATTTTTTGTTTAAACATCTCTTACCAGATATATTTATGAAATTTTTTTTATAAAAAATGCACAAGATTGTTGTATAATTTAGTTTATTTTAAATAAAAATTTCCTGTCATTTTTTAAAAATAATTTGTATGTGCAATTTAGAGTAGTAAAAAAAAAAAGATCACAATCTTCTGGATTAATTCAAGTTTTTTTGTTACTATTATCAATTAAAAGTAAAATTTAAATGGATGAAAATGATGAAAATGTTAATAGGCAAGTTGAAAATAATCGTCGCAGAAATGCCAGAAATAGGCTGAGGCGAGATGAAATTAATAATCAACAGAATGCTAGATATGCTGCTCGGCAAGCCGCAAATAATTTGAATCAAAATGAGGACAATGTCATTAGGCAAGTTGAAAATAATCGTCGCAGAAATGCCAGAAATAGGCTGAGGCGAGATGAAATTAATCATCTTCAAAATATTAGATATGCTGCTCGGCAAGCTGCTAATAATTTGAATCAAAATGAGGACAATGTCATTAGGCAAGTTGATAATAATCGTCGCAGAAATGCAAGAAATAGGCTGAGGCGAGATGAAATTAATAATCAACAGAATGCTAGATATGCTGGTAGACATGAAAAAATGCATTGTATAGCAAGAAGTAATACTATTCCAGATTATAATTATTTAGGAGAAATGAATCATATTTGTCAGCATTGTGGTGCTAAAAAAATTTCCTGATGAAACACATATTTTATGTTGCCATAATGGAAAGGTAGTTTTGTCTCAACTTTCACCATTTCCGCAAGATTTACAAGATTTATTTAGAGGAAGTTATGTAGATCGAAATGCCAATGTGAATTTTCTAAAATATATTCGAAATTATAATGCCTGTCTTTCTTTTGCTTCATTTACTGCTAATGTAGTTCAACCCATGAATCATGGGCCGCCTGTTTTAGAATATGTGGTCAGGTTTTTCATCGTGTTGGTAATCTTAGGCCAGATCAAGATATTCCTCCAACATATTGTCAACTATACATTTATGATCCACTTGCAGCAATAAATTTTAGAATGCGACAACCTGGTAATGATCTTTGCTTAAATGATATAATGTTTCGGTTGCAAACTGTTATTAGTGAGGAGAACCCATTTGCTCTCGCATTTAAAAACATGGCTGAAGTGGAAGATGAAGAAATTCGCCAAGCAGCTATAGAAGGTCGCTCAGTCTCAGTTGTAAAAATGTCTTTACTTGAAGGGCAAGATAGACGTCACTATAATCTCCCTTCACATAATGAAGTTGCAGTTGTATTTGTTGGTGAAGATGGTGCTCCTCCTGCTTCCAGAGAAGTTGTTATTTACCCGAGAGGTCATCCTCTTAAAACTATATCAAGTATGTCTGCCAACTTAGATCCTATGGTTTATCCTCTATTTTTCCCAAGAGGTGATGCTGGTTGGCATAATCAATTGGTTCACAACCCTGAACGTGCTACATTGGTTAGAAATCATGTTACATTATCTCAGTATTACAATTATAGACTTTCGGTTAGACAAATTTTTTCTTCAATCTTTTATGGCAAGAAACTATTTCAGCAATATGCTGTTAATGCATATGTCAAAATTGAAGGCCAGCGCCTTGCTTTTATCAGAAATAACCAAAACAAACTTAGAAGCGAGCAGTATGATGCCTTACATGAACATGTAGACAACCTTGGAAACGATCATAATGTTATATCGTCACGATCATAGCACAATTGCCTAAGTCATTTTTTGGGGGTTTTTTGGAAGTTAAGAGTTGAAATATATAGCTTAAACAGTCTAATAATGTGGCAAATCGCCTTAAACCAATCAGAAAGGAGTTGATTTTTAGTTTTTTCACTTCTGCTTAAATCCGCATTTTTACTTATATCTTATTGCTTTTGACCTATATTCTATTGTGTCTCAACGGTAATACACATATCATTTCTAAAGCAATATATGAAAGCATCTAAGTAAAAAGATGCCAAAAATAAGCCAAAGTGACGTAGCAAAAGAAATACCGAAGTTATTCATTTTTTTTTTTTAGTTTTCTCAAAACGAGAAAAAAATGACTTAGACGATTGTGCTATGATCGTGACGATATGTTTATAGTTTGTTTCTTTGTCTATTTTATGCAGTGGTTTCAAAGTGGTTTGACTTTGCCATTGTAAAGAGCAAGTGTAATGTGTACTTATAAATATCTTATGTGCTTTTGTTGTGCGTTATCGTTGTAATATTGTTGTGATGATTTGTGTTGATAGACAGTTGGCTTACCTTCCCGTTGGTGTCTATCGTTAAAAATGATTAATTGGTAGTTCTATTCATGGAGCTTACTGTTTCTAATCATTCACTAAAAGCCAAGACAAAACATATTGTTATAAACACAATTTGTTTATATTTCAATTTGTTTTTTTTTTTTTATCTTTAGTGTTGTGCATAGTTCTATTCTTTAAAACATTTTTAATTTGTTTTTTAATAAATGTTAATTTTTTCGTCTTTAATAAAAGCCAGCATGAAATAATGTCATTGAACAACACCATTAAATATTGCTTCATCAAAACAGCAACTGCAGTTTGCCAAAAACAGGTTAATTGTTTTCCTGTTTTAAAAATGTTTTTCTTTTCTATTATATTTACTTATCTATTACATTTTTCTTTTAGACACCATGTGACGTATTTATGCGATACAGGAGAACACAATAATAATTATGTTTTGTTATTAAATAATAAAGTTTTGTTAAAAAAAATATTATTAAATAAATTTGTGATTTTGTAATAAACGGAAGGGTCGGATTTTAGAAGCATGAAATATTTGAAAATTTCTGTTTAAAATGCATTTTTCATCTATGATGGAGAGACCTTTATGTAATTAACTAAACTTTAATTATGCGCACATTAAACGCTTTTAAGTTAAATAGAATTCCTTAATAAAGGAGAGGGGGTTACCAAAAAAATTAATAAGTGTCCCGTTAGACATTAGAAGTTAACATTTATATAAGTATTATAAAATTTTTTAACTGCTCCAAAAAATTTAAAGATGTTAAGGAAAATTTCAACTAAATGATAATAAAAACGCCTTCACTCTAAAAAAAATATATATCTTAAAAAAAAAAGTTTTTGTCATATTTAACAGTAACTCCCTTAAGTTAATTATTATGTCTTTTTCTAACACGGTGCCTTGGAAACACTGTCTTAGTCTCACTTAAATAAGAATTAATAAAGCGAGATAAAACCTGAATAAGTACGGAGCTCTTGCGTACTTCTTAACACTATTGATAATGACCGTCTATAAACATACTTTACGCGTTGTTTGCTGTTTTATAAAATAATTATAACTATAAGCAATGACATAGCTAATAATCTGTAAAATTATTTACAGATAAATTTGTATTTAGATATATATTTTTAGATAACGTAGTAAGTTTTGTTGTTACTAATGGTTTAGTTATTTTTAACCCGTATTACGGGTTGCTTACTGCTAGTATATATAAATACGGAAAAAAACACATACTGAAAATATTTAGTCCCTGTGTTTTTAGTCCCTATTTCAACTTGTTGCACATCCTAACATCGGGTGCAATCCTGTCCGCTTTCTCTATGCTATCTTTCTAACACGACTTCTTCTGTATTTCACTCTAACATATCTTCGTTCTTCCTAAACTCACTTTACTCTTGGTCCGTAGAGCGGGTTATGACGCTCCTTGGGGAGCCGAACCTGTCTTTGCGGTACCTTAGTAATGTGGCCTCTATATGGCAACTAGCCGGAGGAGGATAAACCACAATACCATTATATATAATATATAATACTAGGTATAGAAAATAGAATTATATGAAAACTTAACTCCGAACAAAATTGAATGAAACGATTTGTCAATTAAAGTTTTACGTTAAATCAACGTAAATACAACTTTGAGCCAATTTAAAATACAACGTTGGACCAACGTAGTAAATACAACCATTTTCCGACTTTAAATAAACGTTTTATCAACATTGGTTTTAAGTTGATGGCGACGTCGCATTTGTAACCATAATGATATAAAAACAACATTGGCGGCCGATGTTGGGCCATCGAAATGCGCGGCATTGTTCTGATGTTTTAACAACGTATGTGTGCTACCTGGGCACGGTCGTTTAGACTTTAGAAATAAGTGGAAAGTTATTATACGCAAGCGTAGTAGAGTTAAAAGTAATTTAAAATTTTAAAAATGGCTACGGATGTAACGTTTTTAAAAACTTATCATTGACAACGAGTAACTTGTTTAATTTTAGATAATTTAATAGGCTTTTAACTATTTTTAAGATAAAATTATTGTGAAAATAACTTGCAGCTTTACTAAGAAATCTTTTAAATAAAATACAAGTCCTCTGAATGTGAATAAAATCTACTTTCAGCTAAAGCTACTTTTACTGTTTTTGTTTATAATCTTTAAACCTTTTTAAAAAAAATTTTGAGCGTAGAAATTTTTAAAATTTTATTTATTCAGCAAGATGAACCTTTTATCTTTTTTGCATTTTTTGCTTTTATGAGGATTCAATTTTTTTTGCAGGGTTAAAATAAAATCTTAATCGTTAACTTTTTGTAACCTGTTGCTACGATACTCCTTTCTGATGTATATATATATATATATATATATATATATATATATATATATATATATATATATATATATATATATATATATATTATAAATAAAAACACAAACAAGTTTTGAACTTAAAGCATAACTTTGATAAACTATTTAATTTTTAGATATAAAGCTATATAAAGTTTGTAATATTCGTAATAATGCAATAGAGACAAACAGAAAAAAAAGCAACATTAGTATAATTTAAAAAATATAAATTTATTTTATGCATCAAATAAATATCAATCAACACAAAATAAAAGATCAAAATATAATTCAAATGAAAATATAAATATCTTTTATGCATTAAAAACATTTTTCATTCTTTCAATCTTTAAGTAAAAAATATTTTAAATATATTCATATTGATTTTAACAATCTCAAGCTGAAAACATTAAAAAAAAAAATTTAAACACGAAACACAAAAAATATTTATATCGAGTTCCAAGAAAAAGTCTTTCTGCTTTAGTTTACTTTTCCCTTCTTTACAACAGGTAAGTTTCTTTGTTGAAACGCGAATATGGTTGGAATACTAAAAAAATATATACTATATTATTTGTTTGTTTTAAATCAATTTTTATCATAATTTATTAATTTTGAATCAATATGTACAAAACCAGACTGATGATTCAATTGATAGAATCAAAATGATAGCATTCAATCGATAAAATCAAAAACATAACTAATGGTATTGCTTTGATGCAGGCAATACAATTGATTTATTTGAGGTTATTGACTAAATCAAAAGCCTGGAATAATAACATTCAAAATTTTGATCATAGATAAGTGTGCATAAATATATAATGTATGTATGCGTATATATATATATATATATATATATATATATATATATATATATATATATATATATATATATATATATATATATATATATATATATATATATATATATATATATATTAGGATCTTGTGAATTGCTTCGATTCGTGAATCAAGTGTCGCTCCAATTCGAGTCGAAAAAAAAAGATTCAAGTTTTTTCAAATCATATTTTTGCGAATATTGCTGGTTTTTTTAGACTTCTAAAGCTAAAATGTAATTGAAATGGGTTTTTCAAACCAGGGGGAGAAAGAGTAATTGAAAATAGTTCTAACATCACTTTAAAACAAACGCCAAAAATATAATCTGAGCAAAAAGAATTTGTTCAAAGAAATATTTAAATCTTTTTGGAAAAAAAAACAAACTTAAACTTGGTTTTCACGAATAGCTGATTCGATTCATGATTCGATTCGCGAATCAAGACCTGCTTTGAGATTCAATTTGAAACAAAAAATGTCAATTTGCAGGGCCCTAATATATATATATATATATATATATATATATATATATATATATATATATATATATATATATATATATATATATATATATGTTACCAACATATAACAATATTATGTTACTATATATGTTACCAACATATAACAATATTATGTTACTAACATATCACAATACTATGCTCTCTTCTTTAAGAATATTGAGCACTCTTTGACAGTCTGTTCAACTCCTTCAGAAGGTTTATCAAAAAAATAGATAAGTGTTTATGTTATATATATATATATATACATATATATATATATATATATATATATATATATATATATATATATATATATATATATATATATATATATATATATATATATATATATATATATATATATATATATATATATATATATATATATATAGCCACATCGGAAAAGAGCACCATAGCAACAGGTTACACAAGTTTAATGATTAAGATTTTCTTTTAACCCTGCAAAAAAAATTGAATCCTCATATAAGCAAAAAATACAAAATAGATAAAAGGTTTATCTTGCTGAATAAATTTAAATTAAAGAATTTCTACGCTCAAAAATATTTTTAAAAAGGTTTCAAAATTGTAAACAAAAAAACTAAAGTTGCTTTAGCTGAAAGTAGATATTATTCACATTCAGAGATCTTGTATTTTATTTTTTAAATTTCTTCGTACAGCTGCAAGCTATTTTCAAAATAATTTCATGAAAAAACTAGTTAAAAACCTATTTAATTATCTAAAATTAAACAAATTACTCGTTGTCAATGATTAGTTTGTATAATCCTGTTACCGTAGCCATTTTAAAAAACCTTCAAGAAATGTAATTCCACTGCGCATGCGTATAATAACTTTCCTCTTACAAACGACCGTGTGGGATATGAACACACACAAACACACATATATAAACACATATATATATATACATACATACACACACACACATACGCTCATACACATATACACACATTCATATACACATACACACATATATATGTATACATATACATATACATATATATATATATATATATATATATATATATATATATATATATATATATATATATATTATATATATATATATATATATATATATATATACATATATATATATATATATATATACATATATATATATATATATATATATATATATATATATATATATATATATATATATAAACATAAATACACAAACACATACACATGATGATATACCATTCTCCATTATCAAGTTATGACTCCCTCCCGACCGCGTCATAACTTTTGTCATAATCTTTTTTAAAAAAAATAAGATTTATTGTTTAAAGTGAATCTAGCGTAACAAAAAAAAATATATATACCATTCTCTAATATCAAGTTGACTCCCGACCGATGATGTCATAATTTTTGTTATAATCTTAAATAATGCTTTTTTTAAAAAAAATAAGATTTATTGTTTAAAGTTAATCTAGCGTAACAAAAAAATATATATAAGAAAACCATTTTTTTTTTGTTATATAAATTAGATAGTTTGTCAAATTAAATTTATTGTTAAAAAATGCCTAAAGTAAAAAAAATGGATGAAAGTAAAAAAAATATAGTCAAGCGAAAACTGTTTGAAAAACCTGTAGCTTTAAGTTTTTGTTTTTTTAAAAAAAATGTTTTGTGTTTTATTTTATTTTTTGAAGTGGTTGTATTTTTTTCTAGATTGTCAAACCCTATGTACCTGAAAACATCTATAAAGCTCCTCAAATCTATGCTCCTCAAGTGGTTGAAACAATACCACTTGAGGAAACAGATGAACGATTGTATGAAGGAGAGCTGGAATTAATTGAGGATATTCCAGAAATAGACGATGGTAAATTAATATTTTATATAAACATTATATATTTTTTTTTAAAATATATAATAGTTTAAAATATTTTTTTTAGAACAAATGCGTATACTTGATCATATTATGATGCGAATCGATCATCATTTAGATGACAATAGAATGGATAGAAATAATAGGTACTTTGCACTTAATCGAGACGCGACATCGAGACGCGAGATATGTATAGGATGCTGCCTGTGCGAAGAAGAAAGCGAGCACAATCATTGTTGTGTAACAACCGTGTGCCCGTACGTACAAGAACTATTTGAACGGTGCCGCGGTTGTTGCTATTGTATATAAAAATTTGTAAATAATTGTAAATTTGTAAATAAAAAATTCATTTATTAAAATGTCTTTTGATGCGACGGACGATTGTTTGTTATATTTATATCAAGTCAATTTAGATTTAAAAAAATATTTACAGGAAACGCATTTAAATCAAGGTATTTGGATGGATAAAGTTCTTTTAGCCGAAGAAAGCGAATTGGATAGTTGTAAAAGAGTATACGGTTTTTATATTAAATATCCAAAAGTTATAAAGACATATCAAAAAGAGTTGATAAAAGTTATTGATATGTTATTTGAATGTCTTCCGTATCGCGTATTTTATTCCAACACGTGTTATCATAACTATAGTGAAGTCATTGAACATTGTCTTGATGTGTTAAAGACATTTCATTATTATTTTACTTGTATAGATAAATTGTATAAAAAAATAAACTATGTAAATAGTTTAAAAATAATAGTTCAACAATTGTGTTATTATTGTGAAGGATTAGTTGAAGGATTATATTTTCAAAAAGATGTATTGGAATGTTATCATATTATAAAAGATGAGAGAGACAATATATTAAATGAAAAAATTTATTAATGTAAAATTTTGTTTTTTCTCATACAAAACTTTTAACATTTAACATTTAAAAATAATATTTATTTAGATGCAACTAAAGTAGACGTTCTTAATATCAAATCAGAATTGGATGAAAAATGTGAACAATTAAAAAAATTTAAACATCAACAAAAAGAACAAGACACTTATGAAGAAAAACCTCAACGTAAAAAAAATGTTATTAAAAAAAACGAAATTGAAAAACCAAAACGTAAAAAAGTAAAATATTCAGAAGATGAAAGCGAAAGTTCTGAAGAAGAATATGTTGAAAAAAAACCATCCAAAACTAAAGTTGCGTTAAATTCACACGTATGTGCTCAATGTGTTCAAGAAGTTAAAGCTGTAGACGCTATTCATGGTTTATGCAGAAACTGTATTATACAACAAAGAGCTATTTTATCCAGTCCTTTTATGCAAAATAACGTTGAAAAAAAAAGCAAAAAAGATAAAATAAATAAAAAAAATTTAATTGAACTTGGTTACACGCGAGCTTTAAAAGATGTTAAAAACAAAAAATTACCATTTAAAAAAATACTTCCGACTCGGAAGATGAATAAATAGAAATAAAAAAACATTGTAAAAAAATTTTTTCATTTTTTTTTTAAGAATAAAAGAAAATATTATATTAAGATGGGTTCTCTAGCAAAATACATGAGAGCGGGAGATGGTAACCGTTATACGCCTAACCATAACGGTCCCGTTACCATTGATGATTTTTTACAAAAAGCAGAAGACGAAAATCGTCTTTTGCAAGAAGCTACAAGCGGTAGCCTTAGTGAAGAAATGAAAGAAGCCTTGAACGAAAAATATCCTGGTTTTATGACTGCTGTAGCTCAAGACGAAGTCATTAAAACAGATATTCAAAAATTTACTCCTGATTTAACTTCTGAATTAAAAAGTTTAATTACGTTTACTATGAAACTCAACGAATGGACAATACCGGAAGATTATATTTTTGAATTTGATGTTCATTTGTTTAAAAACATAAACACAAAAACAAGATTTAATACAACAGCAAATCATGCAGATCTTGCATTATTAAAACTATTTTGTTTGGTAGAAGGTTTTGCTTTTCACATATACAAAAATACAAGAACATATCTAAATTATCAAAAAAATAACTCTATGCCTGCTAATAACGTTATAAATAATCGAGCATACCAACGATTTAAAACAATGTTTGTTAAAAAAAGTTATATGAAAGCTTATAGAGAGCACATGCTTAATCATAATTTAGCATTTACAGAAAAAACAATTAACAGACCAACTTGGGTTGAAATAAGAGATCTTATGAAATCTAACGATGTTAATGCGGTCATAAGAGCAATGAATAGTACCGTTATACCTGAATATCAAACATTTCTACAAGATACCTATAATGCTTTGATGAACGGAGACAAAGGTTTTCGTTTTAGAGTACCCTTATTTTTGTTATGTGAATTTTTTCAAATTAAAAGTTATTATGGAAAAGGTAAAGAATTAAAAATTGAATTTACTGTTGAACAAGATATAATCAACTTTTAGAATATATAAGACCTATAACTGATGTACAAATGGAATCTTTAGCTAATGTTGGATTAGAAATTAGAAATCCTGCAATTTGGGTCAATACTTACCGAATCAAAGCCAGTTTACCTTTAGAAAAATCTTTATATATAAACAGTTACCCAGATCAACTTTATACTATAGCACGTTTTGCTCATTACGAACAAGTTATAACTAACGTAGAAGGTACAGATACCGTTACCATAAATTTAGGAAATATAAAAACAGCTGACCTCATTGTGTTTTGTTTTCTGTTCAATCAAAAAAAGAAAGCGATCATCTTACTAAAACTTCTATGACACCTGTTGAAATGGCTTGCACTATGATTAAAAAAATTACTTTTCATAATTTTAGAAGAACTTTTGTCAATTCTTCAGGTGACACTTATGTAATTGATTTAGAAAACAAAGTAGAAGATCAACAATTATGTTATCGTAGTTATGTTTCATGGTGTAAAGGAAATACACCTTCTACTCTTAATATTAATAATTTTGCAGATTTTTATACAAGTGACGATGACAGTTTTATTAGAAATCCTAATGATTATTTCAGTCAAACGCGTAACATAACAGAACCTTTAGCTGTTGACACCACTAGCGATTATAATTATGTTAACGACAAACCTCCAGCTACCATTCAAGGAAACAATTCCTTACAAATTACCGTTGATTTTGTTACCAGTTTCAAAGGTCTCATAACTCTGTACCTTCAACATGCAGCACAACTGATTCAAACTGGAACAGGAGAAGACGAAAATTACACATATTATCCTTTTAAATTTAAATCATCATAACACCTTTTACAACATTTTTATTTTAGTTAAATTAACCATGTTTTAATTGTATTTTTTTATGCACGCACGACTATTTAATTTAAAAAAATATAAAAAAAAAACATTTATATTTGTTCTTTCTCAAAACTAATTGTATGGCGCGAAGACGGTATCGTAAAAGAAGAGGTCGCAAACATCGAGGTAAAGGAAAAATTATAACTAGTGTTAAAAATCTTGCCAGACGTTTACTTAGATCAGACGTGGGAGGTTTAGCGTTAGATTATTTGCAAAAACAACGTAATGCGTAGATTGTGTAGAAAAAGAGTTCATAAAAGACGAGGAAAAGGAAGAGTTTATTTACCTCCGTTAAAAGGAGCCGGTAGAAGGAAACGAATACGCGGTAAATTTCTTCCGATATTAGGCGCTTTATTGGGTGGTAGTTTACTATCTTCTATAATACGTTAAAAAAAACACTTGTACAAAAAAAAAATTATTTTTAAAATGCGTAAAAGACTAAGAGGAAAAAGACATAAAAGACGTTTAAAAAGACGTTACAAAAAACGATTGCGTGGAAAATTTTTAGGAGCAATAGGTGCAATTGCTTTAAGACTTTTACCAAGACTTTTACCTATAGTAGGAAGAGCCGCTTTGGGTGGTGCAGTTTCGGGAGGAATATCTTATGGAATCAATCAAATTGGAAAATAAAATAAAAACATTTCTTTGTATCATTTTAATTTATTAAATATTGTATTACAACCGTATACATGTTCGTGTTTTAAATTAAGTTTTTCGTAACCCTTATAATAATTAATAAAATTTTCCATCATTTCTTCAATTGATTTATATTTTTTACTTCTCTACAAATCTTCTCCAATTCGTAAAGGTGCATACTCATTTATTTTGATTATAAGCGCACAAACAATATAAAAAATAATTCCAAAAGTAAGAAATAATACTATTAATAATAACTGCAACGGAAACACCAAAACGTATAACATTAATTTTGCAATATTTACAGATTTTAAATTATATGTTTTTAATACACCAGATTTAACAACATTTACAACAGGTTGAAAAAACTCGCATATTTGTATACCACTTTTTTTCATAAAATTTAAAACTTCCATTTAAAAATGTAAAAAAGAACTTTCTATGAACGATAGTTATGATTACCGTTTCTATTGCCTGTATATATATTTGGTTTTACTTCTTCTGGCTTGTACGGTTTTACAACTACAACTGGTATCGGTTTATCGAACTGTTGTAATGGTTTGTTCTTTGATTCCATCTGATTTATATAACAAAAAAAAATGGTTTTCTTATATATATATTTTTTTGTTACGCTAGATTAACTTTAAACAATAAAAAAAATCTTATATTTTTAAAAATGATTATGACAAAAATTATGACGCGGTCGGGGTGGGAGTCATAACTTGATATTAGAGAATGATATATATATATTTTTTTTGTTACGCTAGATTCACTTTAAACAATAAATCTTATTTTTTTTAAAAAAGATTATGACAAAAATTATGACGCGGTCGGGAGGGAGTCATAACTTGATAATGGAGAATGGTATATCATCATACACACATAAATAAGTACAAATATTCACATACATGAGTATAAACATATAAACATAAAAAAAAGAGCGAGAAAATGTGTGATAATGGTTATTGGTAATAAATTTTAAACTTTTAATCCAATTTTTAAACAATCGCAAAAAGTTGATTGTTTTTACAATTTGAACCCAATGTTGATTCAATGTGTTAATTTCGACGTTGATTAAATGTATATAAATCAACGTTGATCCAATGTATGTAAATACATCCCAAAAAGTTAATTGTTTTTACGAAATAAACCCAACGTCGATCAGATGTTTGTTTCCAAACATTGCTATTGCAAAGTTATCTAACTTAAATAAAATCTTACTTAATTATTAAAATATCAAACCACAATCAATACAAATATGATTTTTGTTTCAATGATCAAGTAGTATCTAACTTTTGGATGTTAATAACGTCAAAAAATAAACCACAAAACCTATATATATTTATATCGTCTTTTCCAACACAAACCTCAGTCACAGTAAACAATGGGATGAATGCACTAACAAAATCGAAAAAAAAATAAAAAGTTGGAAACGTTTTAAGCTGTCCTTTAAAGGGAAAAGAATTGTAAGTCTCCTTAGTAGTATATATCACCTTGCCTTTACAATGCCGTTGCCGAACGACAAAAAAATCAAATCCATAGAAGATTAACAGAAAAATACTTATGGGATAATAGCACCATTAAAACAAAAAAAGAAATTTCTAAACTCTCTATCGAAAAAGGCGGCCTCAATATCATTGACATTCAAACAAAATTAAAATCAATACAACTAAGCTGGATCTCCAAACTTTTTGATCAACAATACAATGGAGCCTGGAAAGATGCAGCATCATACATCTTAAACAATTATATGGAAGCAAACCAAGGAAATCAAGTCTTTTTCACAAGCCATTCGAATGACTCTTTAAAAACTTTGCCTTTGTTTTATAGTCAAATGCTTAAAAACTGGAACAGCATATATAGCCAATGTGACAAAGTTGATAAATTATCATATGAAGAATTGTTAAACCAACCTTTGTTTTACAACCCATACATAAAACACCTTAACACATCTCTAAAACCAACACCAAATACAGAAAAAAACAATATAACTAAAATAGCAGACATTTCTAAAGTATTTGTACCAGGATTTCTTGACTACCAACTGGTTGATATGAAACCTCGACAAATTTCCATAATTATAAACTCGCTACCGCCACAATGGAAACTAAGAATAAATACTGAAACTCAAAAATATGATCATAACAAAGCCATACCATATCTATACTCTAAAAACAACCGTCCAATCCCAATCACAGAACTCAAACCAAAAGTACTATACAAAATTTTGAATACACAAAAATATGATAAAAACTACTGTAAACCTTTCAAAATGGAAACATTATTTCAAAAAAAGTATAAGAAACATTACAGATGAAGAATGGGTCAAACTATTTCTAACAACATACAAAAACAACACAAACAACAAAGCAGATGAAATACGATACAAGTTAATACATTTTAAACTACCAACTAATGAAATTTTCAAAAAGAGAGGATATAAAATCAACGAGCTTTGTCCCCAATGTATGAAAACAAAAGAAAACCTACCACACATGATTTATAACTGTAAAAAAGTTCAGCCTTTAATAAAATACTCGATTTCACTCATTAATAAAATATACACACAAATCCCACATCTAAAAAATACATTCAAAACATTTCTTTTTGCACCATCACAAATTTTATTTTTATGTAATATTGGAAGAATTATAATAAACGAGTGTTTATATAAAATTTATTGTAACAGACAAAGATCGTTCCATCAAAATAAAAAGTTTTCAAGGATTGCACTCTTGGTAGAATTCCAAAACAGAATTAAAAAAATACTGAATGAGGAATACCAATTTGCAAGAGAAAACGATAGTTTAGAAGCATTTCTAAAAGAAATCAAACAAATCTGGTGCAAAAGAAATAAAACCCTCAAATTAGAATTAGATATAAATCGCTTTTTAAACTAATATGACCAGATTCAATTTTGAAACGTTTTGTTTTTAAACTCTTCTTTATTTTAACATTTTTGAAATAATCTCTTTGTTTTTTGATTTTTGATTTTTTCGTTTTTGTTTTTCTTCGATATTTTTTGTTTTTAATAATGGAACAGTAGGCAAAAATTGTAAAAATAATATATAAAAAAACAACAACTACTGTATTCATTATTAATATCTCTACATGGCATAGGCCGGAGGAGAGAAATAAACTACAATACACATATATATTTATATAAATATATATAAATATATATAAATATATATAAATATATATATAAATATATATATATATATATATATAAATATATATATATATATATATATATATATATATATATATATATATATATATATATATATATATATATATATATATATATATATATATATATATATATATATATAAAGATAAAGGAAATAAATTTAAATAGAAATATTATTTCAAATAGTATTGAATACAACCTTTGGCCAATTAAAGTTCAACATTGAATCAACGTAAATACAACGTTGTGCCAACTTAAAATATAACGTTAAATTAACGTTTTTTCGACTTTAAATAAGCGTTTTATCAACATAAGTTTTTAGTTGCTGGCGACGTCGCATTTGTAACCATAATGATATAAAAACAACGTTGGCAGCCGATGTTGGGCCAACGAAACGCGCGATATTGTTCTAATGTTTTAACAACGTACGGGGAAATAACAGTCACCTTGTTTTTATTTATAATTGATATATCTGATCTGTTTTAAAAGAAAGACATAATAAAATAAATCAAAATTTGTGTTTAATAAAAACTGTTTTGAATCAGTTTTAAACTGATGTAAAGAAGTTTTCTTTTTGGAAACAATGTTTGGGAATCTTTTCCACAAAACTGGTCCTCGATTCTGAATTGAGTTAGAATTTTGTTTAGAATGAGATTTTGGAATACCAAAGTGGTTAGGGGAAAATCTTGTAGCATACTTATGGTGTATTTCTTTAAAATAAGTTTCAAAGATTTTTGGGGACAGTACATATTTTGTTATATACATGAACTGTAAAACAAGATGGATATTAAGTTTGAAAATATTTAAGGCACCAATTATACGTAAAAGAGGTTATTTTCTCTTGTATAAGGCATTAATTTATAATTTGACAATAAAGCAATAATTAAAAAATTCTTCACACCTACTAATTGCATTTGGTAAACAGAGAGTAGTTTTATACGGTTTACATTTTTAATATCTCTTTCTAGTCCAAGTAGAATAAATAGAGAGATTTTTCAATTGGACTATAAATGTTATTACATTTTTGAATGCTGGAATGAGCTGGCTCGCAGAACATTTGCTCAATGACTTTTATTTGTGGGTACCTAGCTAGCGCACTTACATTGGGCCAACGTATGTAAAACCATCGCAAACGTCGGCTCATTTTTCGAACTCAAAACCAATTTTGATCCAATGTCATTTGTTTAATGATAAAAGTATTACCGACAGTAGTAAAAACATCTGGCAAATGAACATTGGTCCAATGTTTGTAAAAACATCGTATAAAGTTAATTGTTTTTTCAATCTAAACCCAATATTGATCCAATGTATATATTTCGACGTTGATTCAAAGTATATTATTCAACGTTTTTCTTATGTATATAAAAAAATCACAAAAAGTTGATTGTTTTTACGATCTAAATCCAACGTTAATTGAATCTATGCATTTCGACATTGATTCAATGTATATAAATCAACGTTTTTCCTATGTATGTAAAATCATCGCAAAAAATTATTTGTTTTTACAATCTAAACCAAACGTTGATCGAATCTATATATTTCAACGTTGATTCATCAACGTTGATATAATGTATGTAAATGCATCGCAAAAAGTTGATTGTTTTTACGAAATAAACCCAACGTTGATCCAATGTATGCAACCAAACATTCCTGTTGAAAAGTTATATAACTTAAATAAAATCTTCTGTGATCAATAAAATATAAAACCACAATGAACACAAACATGATTTTTGTTTCGATAATCAAGCGTACATTCACAAACACAAGTGGACATTCATACATACTTGCATACATACGCACATACATACATACATACACTCCCAAGTCAAAGAGTCCTGTATGTATGTATGCGCG